TTTGAATGCGACAAATCAAAATGTCAAATATGTGTGGAATCTAAGTATGTTAAACATCCTTATAAGTCAGTTGAAAGGAATTCAAATCCTTTAGACTTAATTCACACAGATATTTGCGACATGAAGACAATACCATCTCGCGGTGGAAAGAAGTATTTCATAACTTTTATTGACGATATTACTCGATATTGTTATGTTTACTTACTTAATAGTAAAGATGAAGCAATAGACGCATTCAAGCAATACAAAAATAAAGTTGAAACGCAACTTAACAAGAAAATCAAAATGATAAGAAGTGATAAGAGTGGTGAATATGAATCTCCTTTTGAAGAAATATGTTTAGAATATGGAATTATTCATCAAACAATGGCTCCTTACACGCCCCAATCCAATGGGATTGCGAAAAGAAAGAATCGTTCATTAAAGGAGATGATGAACGCATTGTTGGTAAGTTCTGGTTTGCCACAGAACTTGTGGGGGGAAGCCGTTATTACGGCTAACCGGATACTAAATCGAGTACCCCATAGCAAAACACAATCCATTCCATATGAAAAATGGAAAGGAAGGAAGCCCAACTTGAATTATTTTAAAGTGTGGGCGTGTTTTTGGCAAAAGTGCAAGTTTCTAAACCCAAAAGGGTAAAAATAGGACCTAAAACCGTTGATTGTATTTTCATAGGATATGCGAACAATAGTAAAGCATATCGATTTCTGGTTCATAAATCAGAAAATTCCGACATTCATAATAATACGGTTATAGAATCAGATAATGCTGAGTTCTTCGGAAATATATATTCGTATAAAAAAGGAGTGTGAGTCGATTGGTGAAGGATCTAAACGACCTCGGGAAGAAATAAAAGAAAGTACATTTAATTAGGAGGATCCAAGACGTAGTAAACGTCAAAGAACGTCTACTTTATTTGGACTAGATTTTATGACTTTCTTATTGGAATATGAGCCTCGAACATTTAAAGAAGTTATGTCTTCTTCGGAATCATTATTTCGGAAAGAGGCAGTCAATAGTGAAATAGAATCCATATTGAACAACCATACATGGGAATTGGTTGATCTTCCTCCTGGAAATAAACCGTTGGGTTCTAAATGGATTTTTAAGAGAAAAATGAAAGATCATGGCACTATTGATAAATTTAAGGCATGACTTGTAGTCAAAGGGTAGAAGGTCTTGACTACTTTGATACATACTCTCTAGTCAAGAATTACGTCCATACGGATGTTAGTAGCATTAGCTGTAGTGTTTGGTCTTGAAATTCATCAAATGGAAGTAAAGACGGCCTTCTTGAATGGTGATTTGGAGGAAGAAATCTACATGGAGCAACCTGAAGGGTTTGTGGTTCCAGGTAAAGAAAACAATGTATGTAGACTTGTTAAGTTCCTTTACGGACTAAAACAAGCACCCAAACAATGGCATGCGAAATTTGACCAAACAATATTGTCAAATAATTTTAAGATAAATGAATGTGATAAATGTGTGTACATTAAAAATGTTTCAAATCACATAGTCATTGTTTGCTTATATGTGGATGATATGTTGATAATGAGTAATGAAATTGCCTACATAAATGCGACTAAGTGTATGCTATCTGGCAAATTTGATATGAAGGACTTGGGAATTGCTGATTTACTTCTGGGGATTAAGATCCATAAGACTCCTCAAGGTATGGCATTGTCACAATCTCATTATATTAAGTAGTACTTGAAAAATTCAAGCACTTAGGGTTTAAAGTTGCAAAGACTCCAATTGATGTGAATTTTGCATTAGCAAAGAACAAAGGCCAAAGCATATCACAATTGGATTATGCTCGTGTGTTGGGATGCTTAATGTATTTCATGAATTGTACACGACCGGATATAGCTTGTGCTATAAGTAAATTGAGTCGATACACGAGCAATCCAGGTCAATCTCATTGGATGGTAATGAAACGAGTTTTGGGATATTTAGAACATACCCAGGACTTTGCTTGCACTACAGTAAATATCCTGCGGTGATTGAGGGATATTGTGATGGAAACTGGATCACCGGTTCAACTGATTCTAAGTCCACAAGTGGATATGTATTCACTATTGGTGGAGGAGCGGTATCTTGGAAGTCGTCCATACAAACTTGTATTGCCCGCTCTACGATGGAGGCTGAGTTTATAACCTTAGATAAAGCCGGTGAAGAAGCTGAATGGCTCCGGAATTTCTTGGAAGACATTTCATTTTGGCCCAAACCATTGGCACCAATATGCATACATTGCGATAGTCAAGCTGCAATTGGAAGGGCTGGAAGTGTTAGGTATAACGGTAAATCTCCTCATATACGACGAAGACATAAAACCATTAGGCAATTACTCTCTAGAGGAATTATCATGACTGACTACGTAAAGTCAAGTGATAATGTGTCGGATCCACTTACAAAAGGCCTAACTAGAGAGGTAGTTGAGAAATCATCGAGGGAAATGGGACTATGGCCGAGAACAAGTCATTGTGGCGGTAGAAGACTGGAGATCCCAAGATCTAGGTTCAAGGAGATCAAACAAAGTCATTAATGACGGTTCAACTTTGTCAACTAAAATTTTGGTCCATTCTCGTGATGAGACAATGTTAAGTACCAAGGATAAAGCATTAAGGTTTTTTAATGATTTCTAAATTTGATACGAGGTGTATCAAATAGTGTATCTACGGGATGACACGTTTAGAAATCACCTATGTTAGTGTGAAGTGTTAGCCGCTTCAAGGAGAACTTTGTAAGGCCAGTTCTCTACGCACTTAAGAAACCAGGCGGTGTTCATGGCTGAAACGAACACAGCAATGAGAACCAAATAAATTTGCTGAAAACGGATAACGGAAATAAAACGTTTAATATTTCCGTTGGATTTAATATTAATATTCCGTTGAATTTCTGTTAATATTGCTATTAACAAATAAATTTGGTCCAAAAAATTATTAATTAATCATTTGACCAAATCCGAATCCAAAGCCGAAGCCGAAGACGAGCTGAGCGAGCGACGATGACGACGGCGCGAGGCTTGCCTTCTTCTTAACTCTTTAAGAACTACAAGAAGAGCAATTGTATATATACCCATCAAAAACCTTTTCCTCTTCCAATATGGGACAATGTCCCTTTGTCAAGAGGAGAAACTTAAAATTTCACTTAAAATTTTTATTTTTCCTCCATTTCCCATTCACCCTCTTTTAAGCCTATTTAGCTTAAAACCTCAACAATTGCTTACTTAATAGTAAAGATGTTAAGAAGAAGGCAAGCCTCGCGCCGTCGGCGTCGTCGCTCGCTCGGCTCGGCTTCGGCTTCGGATTCAGATTTGGATTTGGTCTAATGATCGATTGATTGATTAATTTTTTTTGGACCAAATTTATTTGTTAATAGCAAATATTAACAAAAATCCAACGGAATATTAATAATAAATCCAACGAAAATATTAAACTTTTTATTTTCGTTATCCGTTTTCAGTTTTTCGGTTTTGTAACTGAAATTTAACCTCCCTCTTCAACTCCCGATTTATTGTTGCGTAAATAGCCATTTATGTTATGGCATTTATGTTATGGCCATTTTTCATAAACAACCATTCTGAAGAGTTGCACCTCTTCGGTTTTGAGCTCAACATTGGCTATAAATACAAGTCCATTCTCTCAGATTTTCCATACGATTTTTTGAGTTCTCCTCCTTTATTCTGCATTGTTTTAACTTCAAAGAAAGCAACAATAAGTGTGATTTGCTACCGAACTTTGTGTTCGTTGAAACACTGGGGTTTGAAGTACCACTACACCAGTGTGTAATTCGTTCTATCCTGGGCGAAAATAATCCACAATCTTGGGTACTAGGAGGGGGTTAAATTCCTTAAGGAAACACTGTGAATTCAGTGGGCTTGGATTAATTTCTATTTAGTTGATATTTCTGTTTATATGTTATTTTATTTTCTCCAAAATTATTTTACAAATACAGTATACTAACACTAATGAGGAATACAATCATTTTACCCAAAATGCTCTCTTCCTCCTCGGTCTAGAAGCTTCCTCCATTGGAGGACTCGTCGAGCTTGAAACTCCAAGTGCAGATTTGCACTGTTTTTGACACTTTTAATTTGTTTTGTTTTCAAGATTAGATATCTCATATTTTAAGAAGGCTTATGTGCAAATATTCTTTGAGTAACATGATAGCGTGAAAATTTCTTTACACTGACTATGCATATAACTTTAACTCTTTTTTTATTACTACGCACATATGTATTTCCTAATACGAGAGAGACTTTTTCTAACGTAATAAGTCCCGTTGGAGTTTGCTTCATAATACTCAATAGCGAGAATGGTAAAATAACTTATCTTCAAAACTCTGCTCTTTAATAGAAACATCACCGTCACCTAGATAATAGGTACATTATAAATTTTTTAAATCTTGCTTCCATTAAAAACAATGTCTATCACTTCCATTGAGTCAGCAATAGAAAACCGTATTGATTTCTACTGGAAATAGACCATTGCGATGTGCAAATTTTAAGCCGTGTGAAGGCTAATTAGTTCTGCGTAATGGTTAATTACTTGGTCAAGCGCATTACTGTAGGATGATTTTTTCGACGAAAAGGATTAATGATACTCGTCTGATATAGAATGTAAATTTTCAAGTTAATAAGTTCAAGTCATAAACATTTATTATTTGAAAATCTAACGCTTCTCTATCTACCTACTATTAATCGATCCTGTTATTGGACAACCTGCAACTTTATAATGCCAAAGGTGAATCGCTGTTTTAGTAGGTATCAACAACTACTTTATTATGAAATTGGGAAGTTTTATATTTTCCAAAGAAGAAGGAATTACTCAATTTTCTTAAAACAGTTGCAATCTTAAAAAACAACGCCAACAGCTGAGAGGGCCATCTTTAGTACTCTCACATTTTGTCATGCAGTTGAACCTTCTACCTAACTGGCCCTCCCTCCACGTTGTTTACTGTCCTACCTCCCCTCCATCCTCGGCGGCACTCCCTCATTTATCTACTTCTTATATAATTCCAATGTGTCATACATTTCAAGTTCAATCAATTTCCATTTCCAACTTCGTTGAAAAAATCCCAAAAGCAGCTAGCAAAAGGAAATGAAGGTACATGCCACTTCATTTTATCCGAAACTCACCGGTGTTCTTACTAATATATTTTCACTTCTCTCCTTTCCCCTGCTCTCCTCTTTTCCGAAACAAAATAGTATTAATTGTTTATTTCAATTCATGTTCGCCATCAAAAGTTCTTAACTTGATCACTAACTTCATTTGTTTTTCTTTCTTTTTCGTTTGTAGATCTTCAGTTGGGTGCACCGCAAATATAATCAGAAAGGTGAACCTATCCATTTTCTTTTTTAGCGTCGTATATATATATTTTTTAAAAGAAAGTAACGTTTGTTCAATAATTTATACTATATATGGCAGATGGATTGCTTGATCGGAATGTGAAGAAAAATGAACTGACAATTAGCAATGAGATTATTGGCGACACACAACTTCTTCTTCAAGATGCCTCAATGGAGCATATGTTGGACGGATGGAAAGGAGGAATCCTCACAATTGGAACATTCGGATTCGGTCCACTAAAAGATCAACGTGACCAGCTAGACATTGAAGTTAATGAAGATGAAGAATGTGAAATAACAGTTAGTGATGATGAGAAAGATGAACAACTTATTATAAACCCATTGATGTATGCAAATGGACATGAACAGAGTCATCATGAGGCACTAAAGGCAAACAAATCGGAGGAAGAGGGAAGAAAGAAGCATCAAATTAAGAAGGAAAGGATCACACTGGCAGATTTATTCTCAGCTGATTTTGATAAGGAGAATATTCCTCGGGCAAATAATATTAATCCAGGTGACAAGCTTCAGCCAGATTTATTCATGACTACGAATAAAGCTTCGAATTCTCAAGTGAAGAATGGACTTTCTTTCGCTAAGAAACTTATGCCTCAAGTCCGGGAGGATTCTTATCCCATCCTGAAACTACAACAAGTCAGCCTACAATTAATTAATTCTTCAGTTTTCTTCATCCAATTTTAAGTGATTAATAATAATTCTAATTAACTAGTTGTGTAATTACTTGTAGTTGATGACAAGGGTGCTGAAAAGGAAGGTTCATCCAGATATGGAAAGCAAGAATCATAAGACCAGTCGAGTGATAGCAGCTGCTACTATGCTGGAATATATTTCCCTTCTGAAAATTCAAGGTCTGCTTTTATTTGCAATTGGTCTAAGGATCAATATAACCTATTTTAGCTCTAAAATTATAAGACAAGCTAGCTACACATTAGTTTCTCATCCTTTGACCTATAAAAATTGCAGAAAATATATTCCAATTTTTTCAAAATATAACGTTTATATATGAGGTTAAGTTGAACAGTACGTATCAAAAAGTTTTTCTTATCCTGAGATAACGTTTTCTACAACGGACTAATGCTAAATTTTCTTTCTAGTACGTAAATTAAACTAATCTCATATTTTGATCCGAATAAAGTATTGAACTTTTTTCTGCTTAATTCCATAGAATAATTCTAAACGAAAGGTCAGGATAATGTACCTGCATGAGCGCAATCAGATAGAAGCCGTTAGTGGTGGCAAAATGGTTAAAAGTAACAGTATTTGCAATTAAACTTTTTAAAAACATCTTAAATATGGATAAGAACCATATTATTCATTTAGAAAATGGAAACCAATGGATAATCAATGGATAACTAATAGGTTTAACTTTTATATTTGTAAAACCTCAAATTGGGGGTTCCTCAAGTTTGGGAGACGAGGAATTCTCCCAAAAGTGATCATATTCAAGAAGTCATGAATATTCATATTATTAGCCCGTTTTTATCACCCGTTTTCGAACCGCCCATATTCGATCTGAACCGACCGTTCCCCTACCCCCCCCCCCCCCCCCAGAAACAATACGTTTTTGTGACTATATAATCGTTGGTTATGTTACAACATTTTCCCTCTTTTTTCTATTTTTTTTTTCCTTTTTTCCCCAATGGGCTTCTCTTCGATCCAGATTACTAAGATATTTCTTTCTTGTATCCGATATTTCTTTCTTCTGCCAACTCTTTGTCTAGTATGAAGAAAAAGTGTGATTCTTCAAGTGACTATGTATTTAATTTACTAATGCATTTATATTGATCGCAATTGCTAATACCTGTTACGCTGATGTTTATTTTTCCTTGATTGAATTTGCAGAAACTATTGCCTAATTAAGCTGCTTTGACGCAGTGCAATCGATTGTACTTGCTTTGAAATGAGAAGCAATAATTATCGTTATGTTTGGTAAGGGAGTAGTACTCTTTTTTTCAATTGGACATAGAGATGTTCCATTGGTGAAAGTCATATATTGCGAACAGCTAGACCCTGTGAATTCTACGATCGATGTTAGGTGACTAGCTTTTGGTCTTCGTTACAATATTATATATATATATATATATATATATATATATATATATATATATATATATATGATGTCAATTCTAGGGGTTGATTTGATCGGTTTGTTATTCTTGGAGGTATTTCATCGTTATATTCTTGAACATGAACTGTCAACTTTGTACGCATCTATTTTCTTCTGCAAGTAACCACCACTTACAGACATCGAATTAAACAGAATGATTCTTATCCCATGTGCAATGTCAATTGTTCTCAACTTGCATTATTTGGTCTATATGGCGAATATGTATCTTGTTGTCTCAGGTATTCTTTATCTCCTTCCCTTTACTCATCCGTTAGCGTTTAGAAGTTTTATTAATTTTGGTGTGATACTAAGGAGCAAAGATCAGTCATGTAGTTCCCATACTATTATTCTCATTTTGTTCCTCTATATCTATGGACGCGCGTTATATACTTCTTTTTCTTCTGTTAGACTTCATAGTGTTTGGTTCATTAATTAGTCGGGTTATTATAATTAATGTAGGTGTTTTGATTGACTTTTTTTGTTAATTGTAATGAGTGTAACAAACTACTATTAGTTCAAAAGAATCACTTATTTTAATTAGTTGTCAAACTATCTGTTACTCCTTATTTAAATAGTTTTGTAATTCCAAACGTTGCGGCCGAAGGGTAAGGCTACTAAAGCCATTGCCTTAGGCCCCCAAAACTAAAGGGCCCCAAAAATATTACTACTAGGAGTTTACTGTATTATTATGCTATAACATATACTTAATTTTAATAGGGATTTCAACTTTTAACTATTTAATTTATTTTGGTGACGTTATAAAGATGAGTTAGAAATTAAATAACAATAATTTTTAGTAGTTAGTGTCTTTTGTCTTCATGGTCAGTTTAATTTTTCCTCTAAGTTTATTCATTTCTTTTCATATTTTGACTATTTTATTTTCTGACTTTAAACTCACGGTCTATGACTTGGCTACTTTATTTAGTCATAGTTTGATGGATCAATAGAGGCAGAAAGCAAATTTTTTGTGTCTTCATGTATTATATGAATGTTATGAAAATAAATTTACGAGGCCTCTTAATAAGCTTCGCTTTAGGCCACAAATAGTCAAGTACTAGTAAAATCATAAAGCCTGTGTTACATCATTTAATAGGTTGTAGACACTGAAATTTTTTTAACAGAGCAAGATAAATTTAAATTCAAGACAATCTTGAAATATTAGAAGTCTGTTAGATTACTTGGTGGTTACTCCATCCAAACCCTAATTTATGCCTATAAATAAGGCTACTAGTCCTTCAAAGGGGGATCTCGGCAATTCCATTAAGACTCTCGAAATATGCACAAAAGAGATCAAATATGAGATCTCCGAAATTCCATTATAATCTTAGAATGTTCATTAAGAGATCAATGGCATGTCAAATATGTCTTGCTAAAAGTCCTTCGTTCGAGAAATACGCCGGCTAAGGCCCTCGAATCACGTAGAATAAATCGGAGGATGAATCAAGGATAAAATAGAGTGTAAACCTACAACGTTTATCAATAAAATCCTTTTTCTTTATAATTTTTTGTGATTGCAGTTTTTTTTTTTTTTTTTTTTTTTTTTGCAATAATTTGTTGCAACAACAGGCACATGACACATATGAGAACAAATTGAATAAAGGAAAAAACTTGTAGTCCGGCCTTGATACTGTTCAAAATATTTATACGGATATAGTGTTATGAATTGTGCTGTCTTGTTGAACTTCTCTTAGGCAAGAAAAGTATAAACTTCAAAAGTGTACTACTTTCTCTCCCTACACATTAGTTTTTTCTTTTTGCTCACCTTTGGCCCTCCTCTGTTCCTCCCCAATATCTCTCTAGTTGCTCTCCTCCACACCCCCTCCCCCACCCCCATTTATAAAGATAGTGCCAATAAATATCAGAGTAGACTTAGGCAATATTATGAGGTTGAGTTGCAACAAAGTGCATTTGGTAGATTATCATCTAGACTCTAGTAACATTTTTATTAAGAGAAAAGCTTCTGTTTTTTCGCCATCTGTTTTGCTTGGTTGAATTCCAAGTGGTTTGTAATCATGTGATCTATTGCGTGACAATTTCGGCCAAAGAACATGGGTTTTCTTGATTTGATAACTTAATCAACTAAAACTAAAGTATGTACAATATCGAATCAAAATGCATTTCAGCTACCAACACAAAATAGAAATGGACAATTTAGGATTATAAAATTTAAAACTTAAGACGATGATAGGATTACTTATGAGACATATATTTGTTTACGTAAATGAGTTTAGCACCAGCTGTGAGCAAAAATTTTTACTATATTGAAATTTTCATCATTTTTAGTTTATAATACTTACTAAGTTTATCTTGATTTTTAGACTTTATTTTACTCTTTTTAGTAGATTTATTTGATAAAATGATAAAACTACAAAAAAAGTTTACATTTTTTTAGAGTATTAGTTTTATTTTCAATTCACAAAAGAACTGAAAAGTTTCCAAAATATAACTTTTATTTACATAAGGTTTATCTTGATTTTGCCTCTCGCATAGATTTTTTTTGTTTTTTTGGGGGGGGGGGGGGGGGGGGGGGGGGTCATTCTTATCCATATACACAAATACACACACTCACAAATACGGAGAACACACACAGAGAATGAAAGGGCTGGGGGAAAACAGAAAAGGGGAATTAAGGATAGAAACAAAGGAGGAAAGCTGGAAAAAAAAAGAAGAGGGAGTGGGGGCTGGAAAAAAAATGAAAAAAGCAGAGAAAGAAAGGGGACAGAGAAACTACCACGACCCAAAATCAACCGTCATGCTGGCGCCTATCGTGGAATTAGGCCAGCCTCAACTCAACGAACCCAACATAACCACAATAAGTTTGAAAATATTAACGGAAGCATTTAACATTTAAAGAAAACTGTTTGAATCATAAGAAATCCCAATATACAATATAATCCAGCCCAAAATCGGGGTGTCACTGAGTACATGAGCGTCTAGATCAGAATATAGTCCACTACAGTGTCTAAAAAAATAAACTGAAAGTACGACAAAAGATAAAGAAGGAGAGTCAAGGCCCGTGAATGCCATGCAGCTACCTCGATAGTCTCCAAACTCTGGAACCTCAATCAGGAACCGTCGCTGCGACCGATATTGCCTAGATCTGCACACAAGGTGCAGGGAGTACGTGAGTACACCAACTCAGTAAGTAATAAGTCCAAACTTTGGACTGAAAGGTAGTGACAAACTCAACCGCAACAGATATAACAGAAATAGATGTGCAGAAACGTAGGCATGCTTTCAAGTTAAATAGACAGATCAAGGCTATAAAGTAAATACAGATCTGAACAGAGTAAGGTATACAGTTCAAGTATCTCTACATGCCAATGCACAGACTATATGAAATGCACCATGTGGTCCCACTCTCAAGTGCTCAACAACTCGGTACTGTATATGGCTATCCGACCCCGGGAAAATCCATCCCGGTACATATACAACACTGACTGTAAGTCACCCAGTACCGAGGAAAAAGAGCAATCCAACCTTGTGGAGAAATCCATTGTCACACCTTCTTTTCTTACTACACCCCCGAAAGGGTGTAATAAGGAGTTATTTCCAACTTGAAGTGACAATCGAAACGGGATTAATTAATAAAGATTCAGAGTCACCACTTGGGAGATTTATGGTGTCCCAAGTCACCGGTTGAATCCCGAATCGAGGAAAAGAATGACTCTGTATAACAGTCCGCGAATCAGAAATCCGAGTAAGGAATTCTGTTAACCCGGGAGAAGGTGTTAATCATTCCCGGGTTCCGTGGTTCTAGCACGGTCGCTCAACTGTCATATTCGGCTTAGTTATCTGATTTTGAACAATTACGAACCTATGTGCAAATTTTAACTTTTAACCGCTTTTATTTATTTTAATTAAAGAAGATTGCAACGTCGTTAAAATACGTCTCGAACCACGTCACATAAATGCACCCGTGGTTTTTGACATATTTCAACATCGTTGAGATTTGGATTTGGCTCACATAAATGCGCACCCGAGTTTAGGAAAGTAATATTATTAAACTAACGCGCCTAAAGCTTTTCGCGTTTGCAACTTTGCGAGGGCCGTGGAATTTAGCTAAACGGCACGCCTCGAATTCTAAGGATCAATACAGGATTAATTAAATTGAGGGTCATGCAGCTGTCATTTTTAATTGGCATAGCGCACCTCAATTCTATATATAAAAAAAACCAACCCCAAATGAATTTCCCGACTTCCTCCTTGTCAAAAAAAACAAAACAAAAATGATTATACCCTAGCTACAAGAACCAAGAAGCTGCATCACTGAATGCCTCATTTGTGCTAAAATAATGAATATAGAACAATCTAAAGTCGAGCATGAGGATAACACCAGTGTTGAATGAAGGAAATAAAGTCTTGTATCATACATATCAAGTAAGAGAACTGATGCTAAGTTCTGTTTCCTTCTTCCAGTGGTGAATTCATTCTTAAGCTACTGCATGGACCGTTAAGCACAGATCTTGAAATCTCAAACTACTACATGGAAATATATCAAGTATGGACAAAATTTGATAGCATACAAATAAGCAAGGCTCACCTCTGTTGTAGACCATCTAATCGCTAGAGAACTAACAAGTAAATGAGTCCGGACCTCGAACAAGACCGGCATAAGTTAAAATTAAGAAACAGCTAGCCGTCACAACAAGCACTTCAAGAAAACTGGTGAGAATGGCCTAATCAGATGCTTACCATGACCCAAATTCTTCTAAGATGCACTGAATTTTAACCAAACAAACACCCTTGGATTCTATGCTAATAATCTACTTGACACTTTGATCTTATATAGCTGGTGATATTGACAAATCAAAGATGCAGAAGAAGAGGAAAGACTGGCCAGCGCTCGAGTTACTAAGCAACTAAGCAGACACTCACAAAGTTTGAAATAACTTCATCTTCAGTGGACAAGCAACCTCTTGCAGCACCAGAATCCTCAATGCAAACATT